ATATATATATATATATATATATATATATATATATATATATATTTCAGAGAGGAAGGGAGAGGGAGATAGAAACATCGATGATGAGAGAATCATTGATTGGCTGCCTCCTGCACGTCCCCCAGGGGAGATCTAGCCTGCAACCCAGGCATGTGCCCTGACTGGGAATCGAACCGTGACCTCCTGGCCCACAGGTCAACGCTCAACCACTGAGCCACGATGGCCAGCTATTTAGGTGGTTCTTTTGTCAATTCTGTCTCAGAGCAGAAGACACTATCACCTCATCCTTCTGAGCCAGTATTTTTCAGTGCTTTTTCCCTGGAGTTTCATGACAGATGTTAGAGAGAGGAAAAGCGTAGTGGGCTGGAACACTTCCATCTTCCATAGCACACACGGTTTGATGTGCTTAACTGGCAGGTTAGTTGGTAGATTACTTTTTTCCTTTTGGGTGCCCTGACTGGGAATCGAACCGGCAACCTTTGGGGGCACAGGACGATGCTCAGCCAGCTTTTAATCATAGGTGGGCTTCTCCTCTCGTTTAGAAAATGTCTGGACATTGGGATTTTGGAGTTTTCCTCTTTACGTAAGTCCATATCGGTAAACTACATTTCCTTAATGCCAACTGACAAATACCTAAGAAATGCACACCCATTTGGGAAAGATATTCATTTTAATGCCATTTGAAACTAAATATAATTAGAAAGAGAAAAGCTTATAATTCATCTAAAGGGGTGGGAGGGTATCTGGGTCATCAGTGTTCCTCTATCTATATTCTGCTACGGAGAAGTAGTAATAGGGCTTAGCTGTCTCCCTTAGCACAGCAAGATGAAAATGTTTTACCATCAGAAATGTTCTCATCCAGCCAGTGTGGCTCAGCGGTTGAATGCAGACCCATAAAGCAGGAGATCAGGGTTCGATTCCCCGCCAGGGCACATGCCCAGGTTGCGGGCTTGATCCCCAGTAGGGGGCGTGCAGGAGGCAGCCAGTCAATGGTTCTCTCTCATCATTGATGTTTCTACCTCTCCCTCTCCCTTCCTCTCTGAAGTCAATAAAAATATATATTTAAAAAACAAACGTTCTCAATTTGTTGAACAATGCAGGTATCCCAGTGTTCCCCTCTGAGCTATATTTTAGTTGCACGCAAAATGTATGCATCTCATTTTAATATTTGATTAAACACAAAGGAGATCCTGGAGGTTTTATTATTAGCAGGTGAGTTTGTTCTGTGCTATGCTTCCCAGCATCTTCCCACCAAGAGTGAAAGTACTCACAGCCTGCCCAAACTGGTTTGGCTCAGTGGATAGAGTGTCGGTCTGCGGACTGAAAGGTCCCAGGTTCGATTCAGGTCAAGGGCATGTACCTTGGTTGCAGGCACATCCCCAGTAGGAGGTGTGCAGGAGGCAGCTGATCGATGTTTCTCTCTCATTGATGTTTCTAACTCTCTATCCCTCTCCCTTCCTCTCTGTAAAAAATCAATAAAATATATTTTTTTTAAAAGAAAGTACTCACAGCCGTAGCTCTTCAAATGTTTTCACTGAGTAGAGTGGAGAGCTGGGATCCTTTTGTAAGACTTCGACTCGATGACTGGATTCTACTAAGGACTGTCGGATTAACTTGTTTAAGAGTGAACTGGAAGCCAAATCCACTACAAAAGCAAGAATAAAAAAGGGGATACTGCAGGGGGGGACTCAGGCTTCCTAAATGACAGCTAATAATTGCTCCCTCCATTCCGTGTATAACAAGCAACTGCTCCTACTCTTTCTTCTAAAAAAAAAAAAAAAGACAAAAGTGACATAGCACTGAGAATTCCTTTTTTTCACGAGGACCCAGTTTCTTATGCTCGGCTGCTATACCAACCGCTAACTTCAAGCAAGTCTACATCCCTCAACGCCAGACCTAATTTTTCCTTGCCAGCTGGAGAGTCTTAGCGGCAACTGCTCGTGGTCGGCAAACTGCGGCTCGAGAGCCACATGCGGCTGTTTAGCCCCTTGAGTATGGCTCTTCCTAAGCCTTAGGAGTACCCTAATTAAGTTAATAACAATGTACTTACCTACAGTGGGGTCTTGACTTACGAGTTTAATTCGTTCCGAGACCGAGCTCATTAACTCAAATTACTCTATCAACTCAATGCAAAAAATCGGCCGAGAGACAGCTGGTATCTCAAAAAACTCCTTAGTCGGGACACTCGTAAGTCAAAACCCCACTGTATATAGTTTAAGTTTAAAAAATTTGGCTCTCAAAAGAGATTTCAATCGTTGTACTGTTGATATTTGGCTCTGTTGACTAATGAGTTTGCCGACCACTAAGACTTAGCCTATTCCTACATTTTCCATCGCAGCTTCCTCTAGAAATAGACCCCACTCCTAATCTAGTATTTCTCCTTTTATTCACTCCTTATAAAGACAGAGAAGTAACGACAGTTCTCCAATACATTGTTCACATTATGACAGCCATGAGTGGCTGAAGCAGAATGCTAGTGGATACAGGCAGATGAATTTATCTCCTACCTACATCTACTTCATCTTCTTCTGTGTTATTCATAGAATCATCTAAAAAGGGTGGAAGAGAAACAACAGGTGTAAAGGTTAAGTGCTGAGCAGAAATGTAAAGTCTCTTATCCCAACTTCTCTGGCCGACTCCACAGCGTGCGCTGGCAGCAAGGGTTGTCCAGGGGAGGAGCTGGTAAAAAGACTGGAGGACCTCGAGCCCTGGCTGGTTTGGCTCAGTGGACAGAGCGTCGGCCTATGGACTGAAGGGTCCCAGTTTCATTCCGGTCAAGGGTACATGCCCAGATTGCAGGCTGGATCCCCAGTAGGGGGGCATGCAGGAGGCAGCCATCAATGATTTGATGTTTCTGTCTCTCTCTCCTCTCCCTTCCACTCTGAAATCAATTTAAAAAAATTTTTACATTAAAAGAAAAGACTGGAGGGCCTGGAATGCTAAATTAAGGGAGCCAAATGTATATCAGTTGCCAGGGACACGAGGAACGCATCTGTCTTTCATTGAGAACAATCTGCTTTACCCTACAGCACTTACCTAGGTTTGGGACTGTCGTATTCTTAACTCCCCGAAGGTTCTTCCGGGGGTGGATGAGGTTTGAAAACTAGCGAAAGACACGGATTTCAACCGATATTAGCAAGCAGGGCTTCAAGAAGCCCCATGCTACCCCTAACAGGAGCTGGAAGGGACGCAGGAAAGACCACCCAATACTGCTTCCTGAGCAATGGTAGGTGCAGATTCCTTTCGGGAACAGTTCTGCATGAGTTGCCCTAAAACTGGGGGAGACTTTCTGCGGCCCCTCCACTCTAAATGTGACAGTCCCTTGGGGGATCGCACGCGACCCAAGGATGGTGGCAGGAGAGCGCGTTGGTAGGTGGATGGGAGGGAGCTAGCGAGGCTTAAGGATCCAAGTGGGAGAGGAGAAAATTCGGGGTCGGGTTGGGACTACCACCTGCTTGCCCTCCCGGGGCTGCCAGGTGTCTTCATTTTGCCCTTTCAATCCAAAGGTCTTGTCTCTCTCTGGGTCTCCTTTTCCGGGGTCTTCTTCCAAGTCCTTGCCACTCCACCTCTCCCCTCCACCACTGGACACTCCACTGCCCCCCTAAGTCCCGCTGCCCTCCCGCCCCCCCGACGCGCAGAACTCCTCCTGGTGGTGCTGCCCTCTCGCTGCTCTCCCCACCCACATAGCTACACTACTAGTCGGAGCAGACACTAGTCACCACCCCCCCAGGCACTATCCCACGAATGGACATTTCATAG